AATCTTTATGGTATTTGCATTTCGTAATAGATTCTTAAATATAACACCAAAAGCATAGGTAACAAAACAAAAAATAAATAAATTGAATTTTATTAGAATTAAAATCTTTGTGTATAAAATGATACTATCAGGTACAGGAGAAAATATTTACAAATAATTTATGTGATAATGATCAAGTATTGAGAACATGTGAAGAAATACTAAAATTTAACAACAAAAAGACAAATAACCCAATTTAAAAATCCCAATTAAAAAATGGACAGTGGCTTGAATAGACATTTTCCAAAAGAAGATATATGGACGGAAAACAAGTACATGAAATGCTCCTCAATATTTTTAGTCATTATGGAAATACAAATCACATCCACAATGAGATACCTCTTCACACCTAGTAAGATGGCTATAATAAAAAGAAAACTTAAAATAACAAGTCTTGGTGAGAATGTGGACAAACTATAACATTTCTGTGCTGCAGATGGGAATGTAAAATGGTGCAGCCACTGTGGAAAATAGTTTAGAGGTTCCTCAGAAAGTTACACATAGAATTGCCATATAGCCTAATAATCTCCATGTATCTCCCTGGTATATATTCAAAAGAATTGAAGATAGTGAAACAAATACTTGTACATGAATGTTTGTAACAGCTCTATTCAGAAGAGAAAAAAGGTGGATATAGCCCAAATATCCATCAATGGATGAATGAATAACAAAGTAGAATGTGTATACACACACACACACACACACACACACACACACACACATATATATACACACACACACACATATACATACACATATATATACACAACAGACTATTATTTAGCCATTAAAAGGGATTAAATTACTGTTACATAATACAATGTGGAAGGATTTCAAAAACATTGTGTTAATTGGAAGCGAGACACAAAAGGACACATATTTTATGATTCTATTTATGTGGAACATCCATAATAGGAAAATCCATAGAAATAGAATGCAGATTAATAATTGGCTAGGACTTGGGAGAAGAGGGAACAAGGAGTGACTGCTTAATGCCTATGAGGTTTCTTTTTGGGATAACAAAAACATTTTGGAACTACATAGAGTTGATGGCTGCACAGCATTGTGAGTGCTAAATGACACTGAGGTGAATACTTAAAACGGTTAAGTTTATGTTATATAAATTTCACCCCAATAAAATGAACACTGTTTCTTTCCTTTCTAAAAATTGAAGCTTCTTATTTTTCTAGGTAAGGAAGAATGCTTTATATCTTTAGCAATAGCAAGTTACCATCTAATGAGCTCTTACAACGTATTGTGAACTGTGATGCATGCTTTTTAGGCATGTTATTTAATCCTCACTGCAGTAATACTTGGCATATAGTGAGTGCTAAGTAACCATTTGTCATGTGGATGAACAACTGTAGAAGCAACGTACATGTGAGACAATGAGGTCGAGAGAGTGAAGGTACTTGCCCCAGGTCTCCTGGCTAGTAAATGGCAGAACTCAAACTCTAAGAATTATAGGACAAAAAATATCACTTTTGGTTTCAACTCTAATGTAATGTTATGGAGAAAGACATCAGGTTTTATAACTGGAATGAAGGTCCTTAATGTTACTTTCTGAGCCCTATTGAAATGCAAATCTGTTAATTTGTTTGCATTGGAAAAGGTATGGCCTTGGTATCAGGCTGCCTGGATTTTCAACTCTACACTATTACTAAATGTGTGGCCTTAGGAAAATTTGATTTAACTTTTCTGAAATCTAGGTTTCTGATTTGTTAAAAGATTGTTAAATTGATGATGGCAGGATGGACTGGTGGAGCCAGAGTTGAAAGTCAAAGCTCCTGACTTTTAAATAATGGAAACTGAGCCAACTGTTAAGAAAACACTGTGCAGGCCAGACAAAATACATCTGAAGGCTATATCTGGCTGCTAAGTTACAAGTTTTTATCTCTGTATTAGTTTAGAGGAAACTGTGGCAACATACTGCCTGGGTTTTAAGTCGAGCCATTTACTAGCTCTGTGATCTTAGGTAAGCTACTTATTCTGTCTGTTCCTTGGTTTACTTTTTTGTAAATTGGGCATAATGATGGTATATACATTAGAAAGTTGTTACAAAGATTAAGTGTCTGTGTGTCTGTCTGTATGTGTGTGTAGTCACCTAGAAATAGTACCTGGCATGTAGCAGTGCAGTGCAAGTATGTTAACTAAAACAAAACAAATAGGTCCTAAGCTTCCTTTCAGCTGTTAATACTATATGATTAATGAAGAACTTATAGAAAGCCAATTATGTGTGCTAACTTGGTCTTAACCTTGGTTTGCTCATCTGTTGTGCCTCAGTTTATACATCTGTGCACTGGAAATAGTAATGGTAATTGCCTCATATAGATATTGTGAAGATTAAATGAATTAATATATAGTTAATCTATCTAAAGAACTAGGAATATTTTCTGGCACAGAGTAAGAACTATATAAGTGTCAGGCATTATCATCATTAATTTTTAAAAATATATCTTCGTGAAGCTAATGTTAGTCAATACTGAAAAACTCCAAAATAAGTTGCTTACAATATGGCATTGATTCTAGGAGCAATATCCGTACCATAATAATGGTGCTGAATTTTTGACCCTTCAATCAATCACTCAAAAAGCCAAAGTAGTGATGTCTGAGTATAGGAAAGCTTCCCAGTCATTGCATAGTCTACTTAATGCATAGCAATACTAGACTGAGATACAAAAGAAAACTAGGCTAACTTGTATCTATGAAGGCAGCTAATGAAATTTATTTATTTATTTATTTTTTTATTTTTTTTACTTATCAGAAAGAGTAAACATTTTATTCAGGTTCCTATCCTGGTGTGGAAACACCTGTGTTGTTTTCCCATCTATTCATTCTTTCAACCAACAGTCACTGGGTGCATCAGGAATGGTTTGAAATTTATTTTTAAGAGCTCTTCCTGCATTTTCCATAATATCTCCAAGAAAGAGATAAGAGAAGTTCAAATTGTGATGCACAGAGCTAATTAGAATTAGAATACCGGTTATAGAATTAGAATGTAGAAAGTTCCATATTGAAAAAGAGGATCATCTTCTGCCTCCCTAGTTTATCCCTGTCTACCTGGGGTAGACTATTGCTTTGTAAATACATAATAGAAGAAAGTTACAAATGGAGTCAGGTCCTGGAGTTGAAAAAAAGCGGCATCCTTACCATCATTTTTAAGGTGGGAAGAGTTTGGTATGAAAAAATAAAGAAGTCTCAGAAGGATGTGGGAGTGAGGGATGTTCAATGGAACAGAAGTCCTAATGTTACAGGAGTAGAAATATATTGCAGCCCCACACTAGATGAATAGGGAACACTGTAGGCCACAAGTTCAAGGGTGCTGGCAGTGGAATTCTAGTGTCAAAGTGACAATAAGTATTAGTGGAATCTCTTTTGAGAGGAGACAGGGATTCTTCAGTGTAAGAAGACAGGAACAAGGAAATTTCATTGTGAGAAAAGCAGGGACTCTATTGTAACAAAACAGGATATAATATGAAAATGCCATTGTGAGTTGTTATGAACATTGCAAGGCCATTAATAATAAGAATGGTGAATGGAGGCAGGGAATTAAAGTGGAAAGTTGGAATAACATAAGTGAGAGACTTGGGATTTGTGTCACGAAATCTTGTAGAATTCTGAGTTCGAATGCACAAGCTGTACTGTGAGAACCATTTCAAGCACCATTAGCAAATAAGGAGGGGATAGAGTGCTCCTCAGTGTGACAGGACAGGGTAAAAGAGAAAATCATAGAATTATAAAAGGGGTAGTCTAATGAGAGAGAATGAGAAATGATATGCCCATTGGGAGGGGTAGAAAATATAAGAAACCCCAGTAAGAAAGAATGGGGTTTCCCCAGTGTGAGAAGACGAGACAAGTGCAATCCTTTGAGAAGTAAGAGGAAAAATAAGAAACCCCAAAGGAAGAGGATGGCAGAATGTGGGGCTAACGGTGAAAGAACACTGTGGAAGGTGAGGAGTGAGTTTACCAAAAAAAGATAACAAATATGAATAATGATTAGAAAAGTAACGTCCCTTTGATGGGATAGGAGATAAATTATGGGAACCCTTGTGGGAGGGTAAAAGAGGTGACTCTAGTAGGAGAAGACACGGGACAAGGCACTATCATCATGTGACAATAGCAGGGTCACCAGTATGAGGTGTCAGAAAATAATGTGGGGCTCGTAATAGGAAGAAGTTGAATGTTCCTCAAAACAAGAAAGCAGGAGACTGGAGGGAACTCCAGTATAATATAATCAGGGCCTCTAGTGTGATGGGAGAGGATGTATTATAGAATCCCAGTCCCATTATAGAAAATGATTAAATGGTGAGAGCCCACAAGGAAAAAAACTGGAGGGCTCACCACTGTGTGAAAAGGGAAGATCTTAATGGGGTAGCATAGAGTGGACTGTGGGGTCACAAGTGGACAAAGATAAGATATCAGCCAGTGTGAGAGGATCACGGGAAAAGGATAGATTCCAGTGTGGGAAAAGGAAAGCTAGTAAGAGAGTAGAGGAAATATTTTGGGACTTTCAGTAGGAAACCTCTAGTAGTAGGAAATCCTAGTACGATTTTAGTAGGAGGGAAAATGGTGGGGCTGCTAGTTGGATGCATTGGTGAGATTCTTAGTGTCAGCAAACAGTTTAAAGACACAGGGTATGTTGTTTCCTCAACTAGGTAGAGTCAGGGGCCCCCCAGAAGAGGAGCACCAGGTGCAAGTGGGGGCCCTCGTGGGAGGAGCCAGGGCATTATTGTGGGTAGGGCAAAGAAATAAGAAACCCTAGGTGGGAGACGATGGAGACAGGGTGGGACCCTCGTGGGAGGGCGCAGGAAATATCGTGGGAACCCAGAGGCTGGGGACAAGGAACTCTCTATGGAGCAAAAGGAAAACTACAGAGAGAGGGCTTGAGAACAGTGTGAAGGTAGGACAAACGATTATACTGGAGCATAATTTCCCCACCTTAGGTGCCCAGCCCCACTTACCCAGGCAGAGTTCAAAGACGTAGGCATAGTAGGACCAGAGCACGACGAGGACAATAACGAGCACTGGCACCCAGGACAGTACCCGGCGGCAGCACCGGAGCCCCCCAGACAGAGCCATCTTCCAGCCTCGCCGCATCTTTGGCTCGAAGATCGACCAAGCAGGCCTGTTGGCGCTGGGTCGGAACTGCTTGGGTGGCGGCTGGGAGGCGGGAAGGCGCGCTGTGCGGCACTCCACTGCTTGGCCTGGCGGGAGCCCTCTCGCCGCGCCGCTGCCACCTGTGGGGCTGCACTGCTGAGTGCGCCCTGCCTGGCACAATAGGCTTGAGTCACGGCGTTGAGGAGCTAGCCATGTTGGAGCTGAAGGGTGATCCGTCAGGCAGTCGGGGCTAGCATGCTCAGAGGGAGTGCAGTCCCTCCCCTTTCCGCCTTCTCCCCACCCCTTGCTTCAAGGCTGGATGCCGGGCTAGACCTCTGCAAAATCGTGAAGCACAAGACATTTGGGTCCGCCCATCTGCTCTTACTGCACTGCGTCCGCTCTCTTCTCTGTTTCTTTCTCTCTCTCTCCCCCTTCGTTCTCTTTCTCCCTGCTACCCCCACACACAGTTACGCACACACACACGCAGACACACACACACACTTACACATACAGGCAGTGCGAAAGATGCGAGCCATAGCGTCTCATAACGTGAAGGCCATCCAGCCCCATCCTCCCACTGCTGCTGGAACAATATGCTTAACACGTAGTGCCGCAGTCACTGCTTGGGTAAGTTCTTTGACAGGGCATTCCCTCCTTCCCCCTTTCCTCCCCGCAGAATCAGCTTAGTATGTTTTTAGAATAAACAGACTGGTATTTAAAAAAAAAATGAGGGAGGCAGTGATTCTGAGAGGGGTCAGGGAAAACTACAAAAGTAGTGATATTTAAGCTGAGCTATATTGATAAATTCAAGAGGTCCAGGTAGATGAGAAGAGGAGAACCTTTTAGAGGAAATAGCATTTACAAAGTCATAAAGTAATGAAAGTCTAAAAATGTTCTAGAAACAGCTAGTGTGGCTTGAAGAGAGTGTGTGTGAAGAGGAGAGGCTAAGAATGAGACTGGGAATATGAGGCCATGGTGTGAAGGCTCTTATATGTGCTTAGCAGGGCATGGGGACATAATCCTGTAAAGCAGACTATGAACAGCCATCAAAGGTTTGGGGGAAATGGAGTGACATCAGAGATATGTTTTTGTAAAATAACTGGCATGATTTTGGAGAGGAAGATGGCCTGGAAGTAGGAAGATCGATTAGGAGGTAATTTAATTCAGCAAATGCTTTTGGAGTAGTTGCTTCCTGTTAGATTAACTTTGGTACAAAAAGAATGACAAAATAGTGGGCCTGACCTCAAGAAGCTCATGTTCTCACTGGGGCCATAGTTGTTCATTGACATAAGTACAATAATAGAAATATAGCAGGGTCTTGGCATTTATGGATTTGTCACACACTGGTTTTTCCAAAGGTCTTTTACATTAAGAAATTTGCGATTTTGCTGAGATGCATGTGTGATTCACATTCTGTGTGACTACTGTGTGGGAGCAAGTATTTCTACAAGGTTGTTCTCTGTTCTTTATTTATGGTTATATATGCAGTAAGTTACCTAAAGTGATAAGAGCTTTATTGTTTCTTTCCTGATTAAGCTATTTTTATGGTTGATGTTACTAAATTCATGATGCAATGAAATGCAGAGTTCATTTTAGTTACAATATTTACTAGCTCAATTAATTATTTGAGCCCTAAGGTTCTGATGTGTATACTTAAATTTTCCAATATTCATTAATATGGAGCTTTTGAAACGTGTATTTTGGGATTGTCAAGGGTATACTATTTAAACCAAGTAACTTTGAGGAGGCAATGATTAAGGGTGAAAGGGAAAGTCCAAGTTGGGTTTTGAATGATGACTAGGAGTTCACCAAGAAGATAAGAGATGAGAGTAGGATTTAAGGGAGGAGGGGATTCCAGGCAAAAGGAAATATGTGGTGGCAAACATATGCAAAACAGCACAACATACTTGAGGGACTGCAAGTAGCCTGGTTTTGCTGGAAGATATTACAGTAGTCTAACCAAGAGATGGTAAGAGCCTAGGCCTAAGATAGGATATGAGGGGAGGGAGAGGAGGGGAAAGATGTAATTGTTTGGGGGGCAATCAACAGAATTTGTCAACCAGTAAGCAGGTGAGGAGTGAGACAAGTTAAAGTTAACAACCAGATATCTAACTTCGATGCCCGAATGAACAGTGTTGCCAATCAATATGATAGGGGCTACTGTGAGAAGAGCAGATTTGGTGGGGGAAGGTGATAACTTTCATGTTTTGACATAATTAGTTTTACCTAAATCTTCCTCTTTTGAGGTTACCTGGACACTAATCCAATAGTCTGAGGCAGGAGACTTATGACAGGGATAGTTCATACCCAAACACTCATGGAAGGCCAAGAACCAGAGAGGCAAACCATGTTCAAGTGTGCACATCAAAGAATGGCAAACTACTTATGGGCCAAATATGGCCCACTGACTTTTTTATGAATAAAGTTTTATTGGAACACATTCATATCAATTTGTTTACCCATAGTCTATGGCTGTTCTGGATAGTGCTGGGTTAGAGTAGTTGTGACATAGGTCATATAGCATGCAAAGCCTACATTTATTTAAATTTATTTTTAAAAAGTTTATTTATTAGAGCAATGTTAGATTAACAGCAAAATTGAAAGGAAGGTTCAAAGATTTCCCATATACTCCCTATCTCCACATGCATAGCCGTCCCCATTATCAACATCCCCCACCAGAGTGGTACATTTGTTACAATCTATGGATCAGCATCAACAGAAAATTACCATCCAAAGTTCATATTTTCTATTAGCATTCACTGTTGATGTTGTACAGTCTGTGGGTTTGGACGAATATATAGTGACTTGTATCCACCATTACAGTGTCATGTAGAGTATTTTTGCTGCCCTAAAAATACTCTGTGTTCTGCCTGTTCATCTCCCCCTCTCTACAACTCATGGAAACTATTGATCTATTTACTGGTACCATAGTTTGCCTCTTCCAGAATGTCGTATAGTTGGAATGATACAGTATGTAACCTTTGAAGATTGCTTTCTTTCACTTAGTAGTATGCATTTAAGATTCCTCCATGTCTTTTCATGGCTTGATAAGTCATTTCTTATTAGTGTTGAATAATATTCCAATTCCTGCAGGTACCACAGTTTATTTGTCCACCCATCAACTGAAAGACAACTTGGTTGCTTCCAAGTTTTGGTCGTTATGAATAAAGCTACTATAAACATTCATGTGCAAGTTTTCATGTGGACATACATTTTCACCTCATTTGGGTAAATACCAAGGATGGAGATTGTTGGATCATTTGGTAAGAGTGTATTTAGTTTTGTAAGAAACTGCCTAAGTGTCTTCAAAAGTAGCTGTACCATTTTGCATCTTCAGCAGAAATGGCTGAGAGTTCCTGTTGCTCTACATCCTTGCCAGAATTTGGTGAGGTCAGTGCTCTGAATTTTGGCCATTGTAAAAGTCTATAGTGGTACTTCATTGTTTTAATTTGCACATCCCTGATGACATATAGTGAGGAACATCTTTTCAGAAGTTTATTTGCCATCTATATATCTTCTTGGTGAGGTGTCTATTCAGGTCTTTAGTCTTTTTTTTTTTTTTTAATGCTTGTCTCTTTATTGTTTAATTTTAAAGATTTTTTTGTGTATTTTAGATTACAGCTGTTTATCATATGTGTCTTATGCAAATATTTTCTTCAGTGTGTGGCCTTTTTATCCTCTTGATAGTGTCTTTACCAGAGCAATATTTTTTAATGAAGTCCAGCTTATTAATTCTTTCTTTCATGGATTGTTGCTTTTGCATTCCATCTAAAAAGCCATCACCAAACCCAAGGTTATCTGGATTTTTGCATATGTTATCTTCTGGGAGTTATACAGTTGTGTGTTTTCTATTTAGATCTGTAATCCATTTTAAGTCAATTTTTATGAAGAGTACAAGGTCTGTGTCTAGATTTACTTTTTTGCATGTGGATGTCCAGTTATTCCAAAACCATTTGTAAAAAATGATGATCCTTTGCAGCACTTTGGGAAGCTAAGGCCAGTGGATCACCTGAGATCAGGAGTTCTAGACCAGCCTGGCCAACATGATGAAACCCCATCTCTACTAAAATTACAAAAATTAGCCAGCCATGATAGCACTCACCTATAATCCCAGCTATTGGGGAGGCTGAGACAGGAGAATTGCTTGAACCTGGGAGGCGGAGGTTGCAGTGAGCTGACATTGCACCACTGCATTCCAGCCTGGGTGATAGAGCAAGACTGTCTCAAAAAAAAAAAAAAAAAAAAAAGAAAAGAAAGAAAGAAAGAAAAGAAAAGAAAAGAAAAAAGAAAGGAAAAAAAGATCTTTTCTCCATTGTATTGTACTCACCTCATTTTAAAGATCAGGTTATTTTATTTATGTAGGTCTATTTCTATTTCTAGGCTCTCTATTTTTTCCACTGATCTGTTTATTGTTTCATCAATATCACAGTGTCTTATTGTTGCTTTATAGTAAGCCTTGAAGTTGGGTAGTGTCAGTCCTCCAACATTGTTCTTTTTCAACATTGTGTTATGTTCTGGGTATTTTGCCTCTCCATACAATCTTTAGAACCAGTTTCTTGATATCCATAAAGTAATTTGCTGGGATTTTGATTGGGATTGTGTTGAATCTATAGATTGGGAAGAACTGACATCTCGATAATATTGGGTCTTCCTGTCCGTGAACATGGAACACCTTTCCATTTATGTAATTCTTCTTTGATTTCATCAGAAGTTTGTAGTTTTCCTTATATAAATCTTGTACATATTTTGTTAGATTTCCACACACGTATTTCGTTTCTGGGGTGCTAAAGTAAATGGGATTGTGTTAGTAATTTCAAATTCTGCTTGTTCATTGCTGCCTATAGAAAAGTAATTGACTTTTGTATATTAAACTTATGTCCTTCAACTGTTATAATTGCTTATTAGTTCCAACTTTTTGCTGATTCTTTCAGATTTTCTGCATAAACTAATTGATAAACAAAAACAATGTTATTTCATCCTTCCCAGTCACTATTCCTGTTATTTCATTTTCTTGTCTTATTGCATTAGCTAGGACATCCAGTATGATATTGAAAAGGATGACAACAGGAGATATCCTTGTCCTGTTCTGGATTTTAATGGAAAAGATTCTATTTTCTTACCATTAAACATGATGTTAGTTACTGGGGTTTTTTTCTTTCTTTATTTCTTTTTTTTGTTACTGGGTTTTTTAAATAGATGTTCTTAT